TGTTCATATTGTGAGTCTCAAACAGCATGTCTGTGTAATCAAATCTACCCGGGACCTGTCTTGTTACTAATTAATCTCTGGGCTGTCTCTAGTTTCTTCAAGTCACAATATCGTACATACGTGATCAAGTATAGACGCCAGGTAGTTGCTGTGTTTTCAGTGACGGGTCTGACTTTTGTCAATGTAGAGAAATTATTCAATAAGACACACAAAACCATTTTTAAGTTTACTAAGCATCTACAATCTATGTTCTGTTGATAGGTTAGGTAAAAATTAGCCGGTATTCTCCCGGCTCGGGCCTTTTCCAAGTGGTGGCCCGGCCTTGGCTCCCTCTTTAGGGAGTGTCTGAGACCTAAGTCTCCCATGGGAGGAGGCACAAGTACCTCCTCATCTTTGGGACCAACTGTCCCCAGGCCTAGCCACAAGCTAGGCCTCTCTGGTCTGCCATCCCCGCCCCAAGGGGGCAAATGGGAATGACAGTCTTATGAGCTAAAGGCTCGGGCTCAGGCACCTACCCTACCCTAGAAGGGTTAGGCATGGTGTCGATATTCTGTTGATAAGCGCATCCAAGCTTGGTACTAGGCTTACTGCGAAGTTCATGGGTGACAAGCTTTAGCGCGTGTGCGTGTTAGTTACCCGGATGTCGGAGTTATTTGTAGATATATACTTGGCCTGTTGTGTGTGTATAATCTTTATATATATATATATATATATATATATATATATATATATATATATATATATATATATATATATATATATATATATATATATATATATATATAGGGAAGTACCACCTCTATAGCTGGACTGGGGACCCTCATCCTCAGAGAAGACAATAAACGTACCTCAGGGAAAACTGATATATATATATATAATATATATATATATATATATATATATATATATATATATATATATATATATATATATATATATATATATATATATATTAGTGCAGGTGGGGATATTACGAGAGTAGTAGTAGTAAGAAGGGATACGCCTCAGGGGATTATTCTAGCAGCCCCGGGCGTACCCTCCCTCCAGCACCTCCAGTGCTGGAGTTTTGAGACTCTATGACCGCGGGTTCAATCCCGGCCGGGGGTATGGTTTATATATATATATAATATATATATATATATATATATATATATATATATATATATATATATATATATATATATATATATTATATATATATTTATATATATATTTATATATATAATGTCGTGCCGAATAGGTAAAACTTGCGATTTTGGCTTAAATAGCAATGCTCTTCTGGCCGAATAAGGCAAGCAAAAATTTGTGTATGCAATAATTTCACAAAAATCATTCTGAACCTAGTGAAAAAAATGCATTTCACTGTTTGTTTATTATTAAATTATTGTAAACTTATCTACAATGTATTTAGTTAGATTAGACTAAATTAAATTGAGCTTGTTATGATAAGGTTAGGTAAGTTTTCTAAGGTTCTTTTGGTACAAAATTATTAACTTTTACATTAACATAAGTAAAAAAATATATTTTTAAACGTATAAGAGAAGATTTTTAGAAAGGACTTAATTTTAAATGAGTTCTTGCTAATTGACCAGTTTTACCTATTCAGCACGTAGAGAGGATATATGGAACAAAATAGAGTGACTTCGAGAGTGTATAAATCTGTAGTGGAGGGAAGGCGGGGTACGGGTCGGCCTAGGAAAAGTTGGAGGGAGGGGGTAAAGGAGATTTTGTGTGTGAGGGGCTTGGACTTTCAGCAAGCATGCATGAGGGTATTTGATAGGAGTGAATGGAGACAAATGATTTTTAGGGCTTGACGTGCTCTTGGAGTGTGAGCAAGGTAACATTTATAAAGGGATTTGGGGAAACCGGCAGGCCGGACTTGAGTCTTGAAGATGGGAAGTACAGTGTCTACACTCTGAAGGAGGGGTGTTAATGTTGCAGTTTTATAACTAGTGTAGGCACGCCTCTGGCAAGACAGTGACGGAGTGAATGATGAAAGTTTTTCTTTTTCGGGCCACCCTGCCTTGGTGGGAAACGGCCAATGTGTTAATAAAAAATATATATATATATAGGGAAGTGGAACAGAATTCTTCCTCCGCAAACCATGCGTGTCGTAAGAGGCGACTAAAATGCTGGGAGCAAGGGGCTAGTAACCCCGTCTCCTGTATAATTCCCTAAATGAAAAAAAGAGAAACGTTTGTTTTTCTTTTTGAGCCACTCTGCCTCGGTAGGATACGACTGGTTTGTTATGAGAAGATATATTTACATACAGGAGGGCCTCGTTTATACAGTAGATTGCATGTGTGTGTGTGTATGTGTGTGTGTGTGTGTGTGTGTGTGTGTGTGTGTGTGTGTGTGTGTGTGTGTGTGTGTGTGTGTGTGTGTGTGTGTGTGTGTGTGTGTGTTTGTGTGTCTCACCAATTATGGTTGCAGGAGTCGATTCACAGCTCCTGGCCCCGCCTCCTCGCTTGTCGCTACTTGGTCCACTCTCTTCCTGCTC